GGGCAGCATACTCCGAAAGGCCCATCCATTGAGGACAAGTTTAAAAGTGTGATGTGTTCATACAGTGGAATGCTACACAGCTGTGAATGAATGCATGAATGAATGAATGAGTGAATGAGGAAGCTTGCAATGTCCTTCTGTGGAAAGATCATCAAGCTATGTTGTTAACTAAAAAACAGGAAGAGGCAAAGGGATATGCAGGAGACCAGCTCCCACAGGTCCAGGGATTCCCTCAGGTGGAGACAGCATCAGCGAGGAAAAAGAAGACTGAAGACGCGCGGAGACACAGGGGTGCTTTCAAGAAGTGTCTCACTTTATTTTTACAGCATGTCCCTTTTTATACCAGACAGTTGACCATTGTCCCTTAGTAAAAAGTTTTTTTATCAGGGTTTTACTTCCTCATAATCCTTATGCTCCAGGGTACAGCTTGACCTTTTCTTATGCTAAAAACCAAACCATCCCAACTGCGCCCAAATCCCTCCACCTACAGTGACTATGTGACCAAGGCTGAGCCTCTACAAAATCGCCTAAAGGATGGTTACCATGACCACCCAACAATTATTCTAACACTATTGTCTAAGCAGGATCTTAAGATTTACAGGGTGTGTACTTTGAACTTTAGTAAAAGACTAGCAGTGTGACTAAAACTGCCTTTAGTGTATAAAATAGAATTATTGTGATATATCTATCAGAAGGGGTGTAAGATCTTCGTCCTACTGGGGGGCATCCAAAGGGGAATTTGAATTTTTTAAGATATAAAGCAGTATCTGTTTCTCAGTCAGAGCTTCAGAATTTGTCACAATAGCAGTGCGCGTGGCCATGTCAGATACTGAGGTGCAGCCGGCTCCCAACAGGGATGTACAGCATAGGGAATATAGTCAACAATATTGTAATAACTATGTATGGTGCCAGGTGGGTAACAGACTTATCAGGGGGATCACTTCATAAGTTATATAAATGTCTACTCAATATGCTGTACACCTGAAACGAATATAAAATAATATTGAATGTCAACTCTAATTGAAAGAGAAAAAAACAGGATGAGGCAGAACAATGCTACTATTTTTTCAGTGTGGGAGGGAAGAATAAGGAAATATATTCATATTCACTCAATTATACAAGCTTCTAGGTGATTCTTTTGGATCTAGAAGTTGGATCATGGTGTCAATGAGATGAACTCCAAGGAGCTCCAACAGTCCTGTTGGAAATACCCATTCACATATTTTTTCTTTCAATAGATGTTTCAGCCCTTGTTAGGTTCACGGCTCCTTAACAAAACTTGCACAAAAGGTTTTCGTTCCAGAGACTTTATTGACCAGGCCTGGGACTGTCTCTCTCAAGAGAAGAGATCAGCACCTAAGTCTTGGTGGGTAAAGAATTTATAGCTGAAGCTGGATACAGAAGCAAAAAAAAGCAGTTAGTGTGTAAAAAGGAAAAATGGTTAGTTTATCTTATTTTAACAAACTATAAAACACAGTTAGGTTATTATTTTTAACGAGCTAATACATAACTTGCTTATCTTCTTGACAGGCTATAAAACATGACTTGTTTATCTTTTCCTAACAAGCCATATACTTTGTTTATCTTCTTCTACTTTCTTGACAAGACAATTTGTTATGGTTTTTGCTGAAGCAGGAGCTTTTTAAATTCCTCTGGGCGGGGGTACTCTCCGAAATGAGATTGCTTAGCCTAGGGTCTGGGCCTGGGTCCCTACACCCTGAGCCCCAACTCTCAAGGAATTTAGAGTCTTGACTAGGAGACACACAGAAGCAAGTAGATATGTCCACAACCAAACTTACTATTTCTTCCAAACCGGCTGCTTCTGCCATCATCCCCGTTTCAGTCAACCCTCACCCCCATACAGCCTGTTCCTCACACCACAGCCAGAGGAATCTTGTGAAAACACATGACCGATCCCATCCTCAACTCAAACCTCCCAAGTCTTCTCATCTTCATAAAATGCAAACATCTCCCCATGGCCTACTAGGCCCAATATCTGGCTCCTTCATGCCTCTTTGAACTATTCCTATAGTCCCCATCACTCTTTCCATTCTAGCCACGCTGGCCCCTTTGCTGGTCCTCAAGTCATCAAGCGGTTTCTGCCTCAGGGCCTTTGAACTTGCTTTTTCCTGTGCCTGAAATACTTATCTCAGGCATTTGCAGAGCTGACTTTATTTAGGTCTCTGCTTAAACCCACTACCTCAGAGATTATTTTTCTAACAGTCGGCTTTCACTAGATTTTACCGCTATAACAAACCACCCCCAAACCTTGGTGATTTGTATTAATCAACTTCTCACTCATGTTACACGTTGACTGCAGATCAGCTGTGGCTCTCCTCCACACATATTTTTCATCCTGGGATCCTAGCTGAAGAGGCAACCCCATCTGGGACAGGCAGTTTTGGTGACCAAAGGAAAAGAACAATTGATGAGCCAAGCCATAGCTTTAAAACATCTGCTCAGAACTGTCTGGAGTTGTCCCCTCCAAATGCAAATTAGCTGGTGAAACCTAGTTTACAGGCTCCCACCGGCTGCAAGAAACACTAAAGCTGTGAAGTTTTTGGTTTCTACCTTGAGAAGAAAGGACACATAGGGGAAACTGGAGGGAGGGAAGTCTAAGTGGTGGGTAGACACAAAGGAGGGATTTTGAAGACATTCTTCCTCACCTCCTTACCCTGCTTTATTTTTCTTCATAGCTTTCACCACTCCCTGGCATAGTATCTGTCTACTTTTAAAAGTTATCTTTCTCTCCCCAACTCCCATCCAACATGGGACCTCCAGGAGAGCAGGACCTTTGTCTCTTATCACAGCTGGTATTTCAGCACCGTGGACAGGGCTTAGCACATAGGAGCTGCTCAATAATCAATATATATTGATTGAAAGATTTCAAGAAGCTAAGGACCATGGTGGGGGAGTCCAAGGTGCTGTGGGAGCCAGGTGAGGGCGATTTCAATGAGATCCCAGGCCACCTCTCAGAGGTCATAGGTGAGGAGGGGTCAGGGAGGCTGTCAGGGGAACAAGACAACCCCTTGGCTCAACCCACCCTTCCAGCTGGCACCAACCTCCCTTCCTCGTGTCCTCACCCAGTCTCATCCAGACATGACACAAGACATTTTATTTAATACAGCAATTTTAACAGCATGGACACTTTGGCCTCCCCCAGTATTTATTGACCTAACTTCTGCCCAACTTCTCCCCTCCAGGAATACCAGCCACTAAAGGCCCCCCACTGCCATTGACCCTTACCACATCCTAGCCTCATCCCTGAGGACCCCCTCCCTTTTTTTTCCCCCCCTCTCCTCCAGCCCTGACTAATCCCAGGGCCATAACCTGGATACTTCCAAGCAGTCTTATCCCATCCTTTCTCCTGAGTGATCCACAGAGCACCTGGGGCTTACCTAGTCTTCATTCCTACACTCCCACCCCGCATCCCCTACCCAATGGTGCACTTGTAATACAAGAGATCCTGAAGCTCTATATTTGTAGCTTGTCCCCCAGAAGTTGTCACCTCTGAAGAAAAAGAAGCAAACCTGACAGAGACCAGCAAGAACTGCAGCAGTTGTGGCCCCTCCCTTGTTGTTGACCTCATCTCTGACTCCGTTCTTAACCTTTACCCCATCCCTGACCCTGGGCCCTGCCTTGACCCCACTTTTGAGCTTCTATCATCCTCATTATGTGGAATTGTTCAGGACCAAGACTCTAATGGCTTGCTTTCAGAGAGAGGCCCCATCCCATCTGAGAAGTCAGATGCCCAGCGAAGAAGAGTCAGAGTATGGGGTGAAGTGGGCCCCAAATCTGAAGCCCAAACATTGGCAGGGGAGGGAAGTATCTCTGACAATCCAGAGCTCTGAGAGGAGGCTAGAGCCCTGGGAGGAAGGGGAACCCCTGAAGGTGACAGCATGGCTCAGAGGAGGAACGTAGCAGTCACAGGTTCCTAATTCAGAGAATAACTCAGCAGCCCAGAACAAGGGTGCCAGAAAATTCAGAGATTTCCCAGAGACCAGCCTCCATGTTTCCATTCAGAAATTCACATACATACATACATCCAGGGTGACAGATGCCAAGCATCACAGGCCCCCACCCGGGGCAGTGTGCCATGAGTGGGCATCAGGTCCCAGTCAGAGAGGGCTGCAGGGACATAAGCCTACTGAATGGCCAAGCCCAAGGGGGACATTTTCTCGAAAGATATAGGGATGTCACAGAACAAGGCTCAGAGCTGCTAGTGGGCCTGGTGGGGACCATGGCCAGGATGGACATGATGGGGACCACGAAGTCTCCAATCTCTATACGACAGTATATGGCTCTCTGGGTCTCTCAGCCACCCCTCAATTCTCTCGTATCTTGCTCTGTCTTGTCCTTGTGTCTCTGTCTCTCTCTCGTCTTTCTTTGTCTCTCGTCCTCTGTCTCTATCTTTGTCTGTTTCTCTTTCTATCTCCCAGTCTCTATCTCTGAGGGTGTGTCTTGCTGAATTTCTCTCTATTTTTGTCTCTGTCTATCTTGGCCTCTCTCTCTCCATGCTGTATAACCATTGTCACCTCCGGACATGATGGTGTTCTCTGTATTAATCTGTTAATAGTCTATTTCCCTCCAGGATAAGTTGGAGGCAGGAACTTTTGTCTGTATTATTTCTGCTGTATCCCTGTGCTTGGAATACTGTCAGGTTCAATAAACATATTTTTTAAAAAAATTTTTTTATTGTGGTAAAATACACGTAACATAAAATTTTTTTATTGTGGTAAAATACACGTAACATCCTAACCAATTTCAAGTACACAGTTCAAATGTACTGGTACATTCACATTGTTGTGCAGCCATCACCACCCTCTATCCCCAGAACTCTTTTCATCTTGCAAAACAGAAACTTTATATCCATTAAACAATAATTCCCTTATTCACCCCTCCCCCCAGCTCCTGGCAACCCCCGCAATAAATATATGTTGAATGAAGAATGAATAGATCATCATTCTCACCAACATTAGTACTTGATGATAACTGTAAAGCAACAATAATAGTTGTTATTGTTACAGCTACTGTTTATGCCAGGCATTGAGCTAAGCAGTTGCTTGTTTAAGCCTTACAAACCGTCCTGTGAGGTGAGTACTATTATCGTGTCCATTTTTCAGGTGAGGAAACTGAGGCCCCAAGAGGAGAAGCAACTTGCCGGATATGAGCCCAGGCCTTGTCTGGTTCTAAAGTCCAGGGAGGTTAAGCTGGGTCGTTAAGAACTCAGAATCTGGCCGGATTGTAAGTTTGAATCTCGGCTCTGTCACTTATCGGGCCGTGAGCTTTAGAAAGTAACTGAATTCCTCTGCGTGCCTCAGTTTCCCCACCTGTCAAGCGGGGATCCGCATATCAGACGCTTCCTCCCTTTCAGGACTCACCTTTTAAGGCTATGGCGCCGATGAAGTAGGGCTGGCAGTGCCAGCGCAGGCGCGGAGGAGCGGAGGAGTCCCAAGCTGACTCACCGGGAAGGCACAGGTCTCTCCATGACACGCCGGAGATTTAAAAAATTGGGAACTTCCCTCCCTGGCCCCCGGCCTGTGGTGGCTTACGGCCCTCCCGGGGATTTCTACGTAGGAGTTCAGGAACGACCAGTGGCCGCCCCGCGCGGGCATAGTCGGTAGACGCCCGCCGAGCGAGGAGGACGCTCGCTCCTGCCCAGCTGTCCTGCTCGCTCCCGGAGGAGCCCCAGCATGGCCAGAGCCGCTTCCTCGGCCTGGCCGCACCTGCTGCTGTCGTTGCTGTCGCTGCTGTCGCTGTCCTGGACGCCCACGAGAGCCGGTGAGTGACCCGGCAGAGGGGCCCGGGGACCCGGGCCCGTGCTCCCCTCGTTCTGCCCCAGCACTCCGTCTCCCGGGTGCCGGAAGGCTGAGGGCGCTGCCCCTCCCCCACTCAGCCTCCCTTCGCCCCAGGTTTGGGGTGGAACATGGAGTTTCCAACTTCCGGAAAGCAGCTGCTTTCAGGTAGGGAGACTTCTGAATGGTGGTGAGTCCGTCTCAGGGGAAAATTCTACAGGAAGGTCACGGACTCACTTCACCACGCCCACACCCACACCGTGCTCCCCAGACCTCCATACCGAATGACGGCCAGAGATGATGACTGGTGGGAGGAAAGGGGGACAGTGGCACATAACCCCGGTCCCCATCTGACCCAAATGATTGGCTCTAAGGGCATGGCCATTCATTCATTCATTCATTCATTCATTTATGTATGTATGCATGCATTCAGCCCACACACGTTTATTGAACAACTAAACAGCTTTAGGCAGTAATACCTGTGTGAGCTCAGGAAAGTTACCTAAGCTCCGTTTCCATAAAACACGTATGGGCGTGGGAAATCCTACCTATCTTGTAAGACTGTCATCTGGGAAAGATGCTGAACAATGTCGAATGCATTCGGGAAGAACAATAATGATGATAATGATAATTCATGTGAACAATAATAATATTGAATGCGGACCCAGGGAAGCCGGAGCTCCTCATCTCAGCATGTCCCAAAAGGTGATTCACATGACACTGAGCACTTTTCCAAAAAAGAGGATGCTGCCAAGGCTTGAGTTGTACAACCGAGAGCCATCAACCTAAAGCCCCTTCAGGAGAAACCCAGCTTGGTTCCTGTTGTGACCTCATTTGCAGATGAGGAGATTGAGGCACAGAGAGAAGTAACTTGCCCATGGCACCCAGCAGGAAATAGCAGAGCTAACGAGGGAACTGCTTCTCTACCACAGCAGGAGAGGAGGGTGCCCAGGACCTTGGACGCAGGGTGGGCCAGGCCCAGGTCTGAACCTAGGTTCTGCCCCTTATTTGCTGGTTAGCGCAGGCAAGTAGCTTGACCTTCCAAGGCTCCCTTGCCCCCTCTGTCCGATGGGGTGAAAGTACTCAAGGATAAAAGTACATAGCTCATGCTGCTCTGGAGAAGGTTGGAGGCGGCCACACGTAAGGGAGCAGCTCAGTGCCTGGCTGGAGTGTGGCATTATATGGGAGCATGCAGAGAGCAAAGCCACTTGATCCAATTTCATCCTCATGGTAGCCTTGCTAAGGAGACTACCCTCTGGTAAGTCACCAGAGGAGACTCACTTGCCCAGAGCTGCACAGCACGTCAATGGTAGAGCTGGCATTCAAACCCAGACTAGCATGTTCACCACCCCCACAATTCCCTGTGTCCAAACTGTGCCTTCCCCTCACACAGCTTGTTCCAAGTACCCCTGTCCACTACCTCCTGGCCTCCTCTTCCTCATAATAGCAGTAGTTATAATATTCACCTTTTAGAGCCCTTGGCATGCGCTAATCCCTTTCCTTAGATTTCGTCATTTAGTCCTCCCAACAAGCCCTATTATGTTCTAACCATCCCCATTTTACAGATGAGGAAATTGAGGCTCAGAGGAGAGAAAGCACCTAAACAAAGGGCCACAGTGAGTGGCAGGACTAGGGTTCAAAGAACTTAACTCCTTCCCATCTTCTCCATTATCCTTATTATTATTAATAAGAATACATAGCATTTTGTGTATTAATATCAATAATAGCCAACCTGATTTGAAGACCTACTATGTTCTGGTGCCCTAGGCAGAAAGATTTTCATGTGGAGCCAGATGGATTAGAGGTCAGACTCTCGAGTGCAGGTTCAACTCCCACCTCTGCCATTTACCCTCTGTGTGGTCTGGAGGAAATGACCCTGGGCCTCAGTTTTCCCATCTATAAAGTGGGACTGACAGTAAAGCTTGCCTCAAGGAACTGCTGAAGGACAAAACCCTGAGAGATGTGTGAAACACTCAGACAGCCCCCAATTTGTGTAAGCAACCTGAGTGTTAATTGTTATTAGTCCCATTTTACAAACTAGGACAAAGAATCAGAGAGGTTAAGTAACCTTCCTGAAGCCTCACAGCAGAGATCTGAAGAACTCCAAAACCCTTGAGCTACAGTTGTCTCCCTTCCTGTGCCAGGATCCCCTACGAATATTCTTCCAACCCCCGTCCACACAATAATAATAATAATAATAATAATAATAACAATAATACCATATTTCATGGATTCTAAGACCTAGAGTTTCTTCCCCTTTTCACTCCTCTAAATCAGAGTTGCTCTAACCATTGACCGTGAGTCATGCTGTAAATTTAAAAAATTACATCTTAAAATTAATGACGCTGGGGTGATTTTTTTAAAAGTCCGGGAACTAGATAGTGGTGATGGTTGCAAAACATCATGAATGTAATTAATGCCACTGAATTGTACACCTTAAGGTGGTTTAAATGGCATATTTAATTTTTTAACCACAATTTTATAAATCGGTGATGCTGAGATCGAGGAAATACGGTAATAGCAAAAAATACGACAATCATAGCCCAGTGAATAGGAGCCCACCTGGTTGCAGACCCAGTTCAGCCACTCTCACTGTCGCCCTGCCAAGATCGGGACTTGACCCGCGCGCGCGCGCACACACACACACACACACACACTCCCAACAGGCTCCAGATCCCAGGCGAGGGGCCTCCTGGGCGCCCGCCCCTCCCCATCCAGACTTGGGATGCCCAGGTCTCACCCGCCCCGCTCTCCGCGTTTTCCCGCAGATACCGAGACTATCGTGCTGCAGGCGCCACACCAGGTGCGCAGCTTCCTGGGCAACAATGCGACGCTGCAGTGCAAGCTGCAGACTCAGAACAGCAACGTGCAGGTGACGCTAGTGACGTGGATGCGGCCGGACCCAACGGGGAGACCCGTCAGTATAGCGGTCTTCCACCCGACCCAGGGCCCCAGCTTCCCCGCGCACCCCAGCTTCCCGGATCCTGGTCGCTTGGAGTTCGTGGCCGCCAGGCCCGGGGTAGAGTTGCGGGACGCAACGCTGGCTGTGCGGGAATTGCGCGCAGAGGATGAAGCCAACTACACCTGCCACTTCGCCACGTTCCCGCATGGTAGCAGGAGCGCTGGTACCTGGCTCCGCGTGCTCGGTGAGTTGGGAAGAGGGAGACAAAAGAGAGGAGCTTGAGGGGCGCGGGGAGGTCAGCAGAAAGGGCACTGGAGGGAGTGAGATGTCCTCCAGAGCAGAAATCCTGTGGAGACCAAGATGGTGGGAGGGCAACCTTGGGGCTGGGGTTGGGGAGGGTCGCGGAGGGTGAATGGGAAACCTGAGGCCGGGATTTGCATCCCAATTCGCCACTACAGGCTTGGGCAAGTGGTTTCATCTCAGCTCCTCCTTTGGTTGATAACAAGAGGGCTGCCCTCCCTCCAGCAAGCTGTCCTGAGGGTCCCCGGAGTTTTTCCAGGTGACCTGCTTAGGACAGAGGCCCATGTGAGCTCCTCCTAATTGTCAGCTGTTGTCACTCCCTTTGGCGAGGAAGGGAGAGTTGAAACAGACAGCAAGGAGAAGGGCTCAAGCATTGTCCTGGAATCATAGGTTCATTTTCATGAGCACAAGGGAGAATACAACAGGCCCTCCTCTGGGAAATTGAGTACGAAGTCTTTTTGCCTCAGTTTCCTCATCTGTGAAATGGGTATTGCTATGAGGATGAATAAGAGCTGACATTTATTTTTCCCTTATGTGCCAGGTTAAGTGCTTAGAGCTGTGCCAAAGACAGTTCTGGTCATTTCAGCAAACCTGGGACTTCAGATACCATGGTTTAGGATGAGGGTAAAGCAAAACCAGTGAGTCAAATTAAAGAGAAATCATCAGTAAATAATAACCCAGGTAATGACAGGGAAGGAACCCAGGGAAGCCCCAGGTCTGTGAGTAACCAGAATGATGGTTAAGAGATGGTCCAGGATGGTTTTGGAGTCAGACAGACCTTGAGTAAAAGCCTAG